CATTCCATAAGTTCTGTGACTCTAGAGAACTCTGACTAATAAATACATCCTCCAACAAGCCCACCCTTCCTAATCCTTCCCAAACACTTTCACCAGCTGAGGACCAAGCATTCTAATATATGAGTCTGTGCCGGCCACTCTCATTCAAACCACTACACTTAGGCTCCTGAGTTCTGAGATTACAAGCGTGTGCCACCACAGTGGCTTCTTCTATCTTTTTGTGGGCAGCTTATCTCACTTGATATGATGCCTTCGAGTTTGAATTTCTGGGTTTAGAAAGCTTCTTAACCAAAGTATGGTGGCCTGGTGAGTCATCTTCTCTGTGGAGTGACCTGGTGCTGGCAGCCTTCCCTAGGTAAGCACAGATCCATCCTCCCCTCTCCCCTGCAGAACAGCCCTCCTGTCTCTCCCACAGAAGGCCTTCCCCCAGGGCTTGTCACATGAGAAGCCTAGTCTCATTCCACCTGTCCAGGCCTTGCTAAGGTTCCCCAAGACCTACATTACTTTTCATTAATTTCTTTGGGGTCTTTGCCTCCACACAGGAACTTGTCCCTACTTACCAGGGTGGTCCCCTGAGAACTCCTGAACCTACAGTCACTTCCGGGATGCTCTGGGCAACTGTGCCACAAGGGCTGGCCACTGACCACCTTTGCTTTTCAGTCCTCCCTGCCCCCTCCATCTGCGCGACAATAGACATGCCCACCTCTCCTCCTGTAAAACAAGGAAGGCCAACTCTGGTGCCCCCAGCTCTGCTTCATTCAGGTTCCCTAACAACCCATACCACCCATCAGCAGCCCCCCTCCCTGCACTGTCCAGAAGAGCCCCCCGCCCCATCTCTCCATCATTCCCGAGAGTGGAGCCAGCCAGCCCCTTCTGCGCCCCTCATCACCTCAGGGTGAGGGAGCTCCACCCACCTGCCTGAGAACAGCAGCGGTGGATTGCAACACTCACACCTTTAGACTGTGGGTGCCACATGGGCAAGGACTCTGTTATTTGTCTTGGCTCCACCTTTTTTATTAATTCCCTGCTGTCCTTGTTTAGGGCCCCATAAAAGGACAGAATTAGAAAGAGGAGGACCATCCACTGGCCTTTGGCGCTCCCTTTCCAAAGAAAACGTTGGGACAGGTCCTGCTTTCCTAGTTCAGAAGTGAAAAGATCACCTTTCACCTACCTACGGAGAGGCAGGCGACCAAGATGCCCTGCGGAGCATGCAAGGTGCTGCTGCCGGCCTAGTCCTTAAGAACTTCCTGTTGGGAGAAGTCACCTCCCAGAGTCTATAGTCCCACCTCATCCCATCCACCACCTGACTCCTGGCCACTTTGACTCTTGAAACTGTCCAGAGACGCCCCAGTTCCCTCCCCACACACCACGCCCTTTGTCCAGTGCCTTTCTTGTGGACCACTTACCCTCTTTCCACAGCCTGACTTTCTGAGAATATGATTGGTCAGTCTGCTCTCCGGTGTCCCAAAGCCTTCCAGACCTGTGGCCTCCTCCCATTGTCTGAAGACGGCTGTCCCGAAGAAGTTTTGCCATCTCTGTCAGCAGTCTTGAGAAGGTAGGCTTTAATCTGACTGTGGTGCTCAGAAGTGAGATTTCTGGAAAATAACCATTAAAGGAAGCCATCGGGCAGAGCGCCCCCGTGACTAAACCCTGGTGGCCTTGTAAGAATAGACACAGGCAGAGATACAGGCTCCTTGTCTCTTGCCGTGTGATATTGCTAACAAGGCCATTGCCAGAGGCAGCCTGCATCTTGCACCTCCAGAACCGGAAGCCCTCCCCCAAAAAAAACCTCCTTTTCTTTATTAAAAATAAATAAATAAATAAAAATAGCACCCTCCCGATTATTCCTTTACGGGGCTGAAGAGCTGCCTTGCGAAGTCCGCCAGCACCTCAGCTGGTCCACACAGGTCGGAATAACCCCATGCCTGTCCCACTGTGGGGTCCTCTATTTCAGAACAGGCTTCTTGCCTCCGCATTTCAGGGGCCACTTTGGCTTTCGGCTTCTCCTCCAGCCCAGGGTCAGCCAGTAAGGGTGCTGGCCACCAAGTCTGACAACCTCAGTAAGGCACCTGGACCCTCCCTCTCCTCTTCCCCCAAACCCCCAAACAGTAAGTGCTTCCCCATTGCCCAGAGAAGAAGGCATGGGGGGCCCAGCTGCCCCACCCAGCATCACCTCCTATGGCCTGGATGTAATATCTTGTGCTGTGTGAGTACACTTCTCACCATTCATGGAGTGTTTGTGTTCTCTTGTTCTCTTAGGGGCAATGTGAATTAAGTAAGAGAGAATTGTGGGTTTTAAGAAGGGAGAGATTGTGCTGTCTCTAATGGTGGAAGGAACGATGGAGAGGAGAGGAAAACACATTATCTAAATACAGGACTACCGGCTACAATGAAAATAATGAACCTAAATAGACACAGAGCTCTGTCTGCCTGTCTTTACCTTCCTCTCAGTACACTACATTCTTCTCACTGCACTACATCTTGAGAGGGTCCCAGCAGGACATGGTGTGGACCACATCTTGCTACAGCCAGATGCAGAGCTGTGGCAGTGTCCCAATTTCTTGGGATTTTCTAAATGTTGGGTGGGAGGGTGGATTCGTTTCCACAATAACAATGACACGAAGTAAAAGGTGAGTGCTTGACAGAGCAGGCTGAGAGCCTCAAAGGGAAGCAGCTCTGAAGAGAAAAGGTGAATTCTGACCCAAATGTTACCAGAAAGATCTGCCCCTAGGTATGGGGGTGGGGGAGGTAGATGCCGTCCTCTTCTCTCCGCCTCCCTCACCCTCCCTCTCCTGTTGCAGAATATTTGCTTACACTGTAAAGATGTGTCTTTGCCAAGGTGTCTTCTGTTTGGTTTAATAAAGAGCTGAATGGCCAGTCACTAGGCAGGAAGAGGTTAGGTGGAACTTCCGGTGACAGAGAGAACTCTGGGAAGAAGAAGGGTGGAGTCACCAGCCAGATGAAGAGGAAAAGGAGATGCAAGACGAAAGAGAGGTAATGCCATATGGCAGAATGTAGGTTAATATAAAGAAAGGGGCTAATTTAAATTGTAAGAGCTAGTTGAGACAAGCCTAAGCTAAAGGCCAAGCTTTCACAATTAATAATAAGTTTCTGTGTCACTATTTGCAGGCTGGCAGCCCAAAGATAGTCCAACAAGAAAGCTTGCTACACTCTCCCTACAACCCACACCCCTAAAAGAACATGGGGCTACAACATGCTGCCTTTTCACTGTCTGTGGCCTGTGTTCATGGGACTCTTCTGTCCTCAGCTCTCCAAGGTAGTCTATCTCTCATGATGTCCAGTTAACACCATAAGGAACTTACCGTCATCTTCAAGTACACCTCCCCAGAAGGCAAGAGGCCAAACAATCTAGAAAACTGGGACCTTGGGAAAAAAAGAGAGAGAACGAGAGAGAGATGAAGGTGTATTATTGACATCAGATTGAGCTGGCCAAGCAGGGAGAGAGTGATGTCAACAAGGAGTCTCAAAGATGACCCATGGCTTCTGAAAGAGGGCTCTCCTATCAAGATTGACAGCACCTGATCACCCAGAGGGAAAGAATGTTTATGCCCTCAACCTGGATCAACGTTCCAATTCCAGATTTCCTGTATTAAAAACTAAAGAATTATTAACCCCAAAAGCACAAGCAACAAAGAAAAAAAAATAGATGAATTATGTGGTCCTTCATACTTAACATCTTCTGAGTAAAAATGTGTGTGGTAGAATGGGGGGAAATATCTGCACACCATTTGTCTACGAAGGGGTTAATATCAGTGATACATAAAGAACTCCTGTGGCGGGAAGGACTCACCCCACAACCCCCTTTGTCTGCCATGTGGTGGCATGGGTGGGGAAAACAATGCCCTCCCTCCCCTCGTCCCTTGCCACCTGTGGCAGGTGAGAGAGCTGGTCCCGGGGCCCAAGAGAGTGGGAGAACTGGCCCTGGCCCTCACCAGCTGTGGCACATGGGACAGCGGGCACAGCACCTTGCCTGGCAGCACCACAGAGCTAACCCTGTTGTTGAGGGCCCTGGTGAGCTGGGTCTGTGGGCACGAGAGCAAGAGAACTGCCCCCGCCCCCTCCCTTGTATCCCACGAGATGGCAAGGGTAAAGGAAGTATGCCCTTCCTGACTAGCCATCTTCAACAGGCGGGAAAGCCAGCCTCGGGGCCATGAGAATGGAAGAGCTAGCCCTACACCTCGTCTGGGCAAAACAGTAGAGCGGACCCTGGTGGTGTGCATGCAGGCGAGCTGGACCCAAAGGTGTGAGAACAGGAGAACTGACCCGCTCCTGCTGTCTGCTACATTGGGTGAGCTAGCCGGGACAGTGCTGGAGAGCTTGCCCTGGTGACGATGAGGGGAAGCTGGCAGGCTGACCAGCCCAGCTACCACCCAGGCCCAGAACCAGGACTACAAGGTAGCCCACCCCAGCATCCACCTCATCTATGAACTGCTGGAGCATGTGAAGGAGCCGGAACTGCAGATCCAAAGCTACAGGATCTCCATGGCACAGGGCAATAATAGGATATCCAAGAGGAGCCCCAGTGAGGGCCTGGTATGGAGAATGTAGCAGAAGCCAGAGGCCTCCAACCAGACCAATGACTCACTGCAATGAACGCCTGCCTACAAGTGAAGATGTGTGGACTAGAGGGTATACTGTGTGACTCACTGGGCCATGCCAGCTTCCACGCCGAGATTTTTTTTTTTTTATTTGTTTGGGTTTTTTTTGTTTGTTTGTTTGTTTGTTTGGTTTGTGTTTTGTTTTTTTGTTTTGCTTTTAAATTTTGTTTTTGGGAGGAGGTTGCAAGGGCAGAGGGCTGAAGTGAGGGGACAGGGAGATAAGTGAGTTGAGGATGCATATTGTGAAATCCACAATCAATAAAAAGGTTTTTTTAAAAAAATAAAATAAAATAAAATTCCTGTAGCTTACCAACAAATACAAAACAATGCAACTGAAAGTGGCCAAAGGATCGGGCCCTACATTTCCAGAGAAGACATATAAATAGCCGGCAGCACACCAAGAGACGCTTAGCGCCTCCATTATGAAAACACGGGACGCTGTGGCTGAACTGTTGGCGGAAAGACCTGCAGAAGCCAAAGCAAGACAAAGGTGGATCTCTCAGGGACAGCGAAGCATCTGCGCCATCAGGCTGTTAGCGTGTGAGATGGGCACTCTTCCGGGGGTGGAGCGACAGGTGGAGGTGACGTACAAGGTGGTCCCCTGACTGGGGTCACCCCCAGGACCTGCATTCTGACCAACTGCTGGCTTGATCCTAAAAGCGGAGAGGCCTAAGAGGGAGGGAAACAGCCCATTCGTGACAAATTCACAGCCCCCCAACTCCAACCTTACTCCTGCTGGGCAGAGGAGGGCTTGATATCTCCTGCAGCTTGGGGCACTGTGCCCTTGTTCTAGAAGGACAGCTCTGGAGGCAGAGACACAGCCAAGGTGAACCCCTCAGCAGATGAGGGGCAGAGCCTTGCCCAGTTTCCGACTGCACCTCACTGTGTCCAGTGGCCACACGGCTGCCGCCCACAAACCTCTATCGAGGCTGTCATCTCTTCCAACAAGCAGAAGAATGAACCCCCAGATCCTTGTGGTCTTTCTAAGTGATCCACTCTCCTCCAGACTGCTTTCACCTTTCCCTGTCTGTCCCCATCCTTACTCCCAGCCCAAGACTATCTGCTTTCCCTAAAGCCCCCTGTCTGGAGGGATCGTTTCTGAGTTTTCCTTTCTGTACATGTTCGAAGTCCATGTGACAGGGAGCCAGTTCCTCCTGGGAGTCTGTGTTTCCTGTCTTGCATCTCTCAAACAGAACAGCTCAGCAGACATCTGTAGAACCTCAGCTCCTCAGGACCCCTCCCACTGAGGGAGCTGGTACCTGGCCTTACCCTGGGGTAGTCTAAACAAGCATCTTCAGAAAAGGGCGTTTATTGCCAAGACAGTAGAGATAAGCGGGGCTCATCCGTCTGCCACAATGACTCGGGCTGGGCCCGGGTTGCACGTTGTCAGAGTGATTTTAGCAGAGCCTGCAAGCCATGAAACTCTTACAAACTCCAGATAAGGCCCTTGTCTTGAGAGAGCTTGGAGGAGAGGGGAGTGGGGAGTCGCAGCGATAGTCGCCACTGGAGATAAGAAGAATATATATTTTGTTTAACCAAACCTGTCTATTGGCTGGAGACACCCATGAGCTGGCATCCGTCAAATCCTTTTCTGATTTACACGAATACCTGATTCCCTCCGATAAGGAAAAGTGTAAGTCAACACAGCTCTGTTGTCACTGGGTGTTACCTGCCCAGATACTGGGGGTTTTATCTACAGATTCATTCGAAGGCTTCCTTCAGCTTTATCTGTGACTTAGGTGTGACCAAACTGTCTTGCATGCCTATGTGCACATGTGCGTGCTTGCATGCGTGAGGGTGGGCGTGGGCGTGTGCTTGTGTTTGTGCATGTGCATGCGTATGCGTGCGTGTGTGCGTGCGTGCGTGCGTGCGTGCGTGCGTGTCTGTGTGTGTGTGTGTGTGTGTGTTTGTGTTCCAAAGGTCTGTATATGATCATGTCATGAACAAATACCACAGAGAAATGGTGAATTGGACTCCAAAGAGGAGCAGAGGGAGGTGGCAGCAAGATGATGAATGTGTTTCATAATCAGCCCAAAGCCGCCAACCGCTGTCTACTCCAACAAGCTCTGGCCTGCTATCCATCAGCTCTAACTCGGGGAGGACGAACCCCAGAGCTACCCTGATAAGACAGAAAAAACTGTGGTCAATCATCCTGCACCTCTGGACTCAGTTTCTCCGTTTATGAAGGAGAAAATGATATCCACCGTGTACACATCCATCACGAGGATGAATGGCCTGCATTACACCAAGTGATCCTAAGACAGGAAAGCTGGTGGATTAAATAAAGATTTACAGAGGATCGTGTCCAGATGAGGCTTTATTTATGACGTGCTTCATGAAGGTGATAGATGGCAACTGCGAGGGTCCCCAGGGAGATCCTACTTCCAATAGAAGAGAGGGAGGGCGGGAGGGAGGAGAAGGAGAGAGAGAGAGAGAGAGAGAGAGAGAGAGAGAGAGAGAGAAGGGACTTGCCCAAGAAGAATTGTTTCCTCACTCTACCTTATTCCTCCTGTTAGTTCAGTTCAAGGCTTGGGAAGGGTTCGTCTGGTGAGACACCGATGACATCAAGCCCACCGTGGCTCCAGCCTAAAAAGGGACCCTGGGGGGCAACAAGACGGCTCCCCGGGTAAAAGGACTTGCTAAGGAAACCTGGAAACCCCTGAGCTCAACCCAAACCCACAGTGGCAGGAGAGAAATGACTCTCGAAGCTTGTCCTCTGACTTGCACACACACACACACACACACACACACACACACACTGTGGTACACGCATGCCCTCACTCACATACAGTTACTACACACATCATCATCATAAATAAAAGGTTTTTTTTTTCTAAGTGATGTTTGGAAAGAAGGTTTAGGTTTAGCAACACAGAGAAAGAACGGTCAGAAATGTTAAACTGCTCAGCTGAATACACTATAAAAGTTCGCTTGCTTTGCATGCAACATACAAGTCTATAGATGTGAAAAATCAAACCAACCCCCAGCTCTCACCTCCCCATCTCCTCAGTTCCTAATCCCATTGCCCTAGGAAACAAGCTTTAAACTTAGTCTTTCTGGGCCTTCCTAGGTACCAACCTGAACCCGTGTCTTTGTACTTAACGGTCTTCTCACTTGAAAGAGCCGATGGAAAGTTTCTGGTGCCATTCTTCAACTGATACGGAAAGAGAGAAGATGTACTTCCCACCGAGCCGTGAGGAGACATGCACGAACACCCATCTGCAGGGAGATTTACCCCCAAGAAGTCACTGACTCAACATGCCTCCTTACGCCCAGCCCCCAAGATCATTGGCCTCGTGGACACCATCAGCTCTGGCTTAGTCATAGCCTCTGGGTGTGCTGGAGGTTCTGAGGCACCCACTGAGTCAGTGCACACGAGGGACCTGATAAAACAGGAGTTATGGGACAGTGGGTAGAGTAGGCATCGTGTCCACCCTTTTGACCCACAGACAGTATTTTAGGGAGTCCACTGCTCCTCATGAATCCACCAAAACCCGTCTTTGTAAAACATTGACAATTTTGACTCTGGGTATTCACCCTTTGCTGACCTCATCTTTGAAACAGACTATGTTTATGAGGTAAGCAAACCTGTGTAGGACCCCACACAGCTCCTCGCCATCCCCATTAACAGGTAACCCCATCCCTTGACCCCGGCAAACACACCTCCACATCTAGGACTGCAATCTTAGTGACCAGTAAGTCATATTTCTTTACTAATGTTGTATGGAGGAGGCTAATTTTTTATATATGTATGTTTAAACCAACTACAATAATTAAGGCTCTTGTGAGTCTGTGCCAGAGACCAGTGCAGAGACAGAACTGTATGGGTTGCTTTAACAGAAATGACTTAGTTAACTAGCATTCTAATTAACGATTGTCCTATTATTGCTGTGATAGACACCGTGATAAACCAAAGCAACTTGTGGGAGGACGTTTACCTCAGTTCACCCTGGCAGGTCAGAGTCCATCATTGAGGGAAGTAACCACAGGAAATCAAGCAGGAATTGAAGCAGAAATCATGGGAGAGCTCGCCGGCTCATCCTCATCTGGCTTTCTTATATAGCTCCAGACCCCCTACCCAGGGATGGCAAAGCTCACAGTGGGCTGGGCCCTCCCATATCAACCAACAATTAAGACAGTTCCTTGAAGACATGACCACAGAGCAATCTGACCTGGCAAATCCCCACAGTTGAGACTCCCTCAAATACCTCTGGGCTATGTCAGGTTGACAGCTGACGCTAACTGGGACAACTAAGTTTGAAAAACTAAAAAGGCGACATAATAACCCTAAGATATCATCTAGGCAGAAACCCAAAAGCAGACATCACTCCCTAGGGTTGGGCAATCCATAGGGAAAGGCTGAGCTTATTAGTCTTTAGTCGCCTAGAGAGGCTGGTAGCTGATCCCACACAATGGAGAAGACGTGATTGACAGATGGTGCCTGCAAAGACAGGCACTCAGCTGGTGTGTTGCTGGGACTTAGAGGCTAGATGAGACTCTGACATAGACAGGAAGCAAGACAGCAAGCATCACACACACACACACACACACACACACCTCGTGCTGAGCCACCTCTATAGCTCCAGGGTCAGGTGTGCCTCCCAGTCTGAACCAAAGCATCCCAGGGCAGACAGGGAAAGGTAACCTTGAACTTCCTGCCTTGGCCTCCCAAGTGCTGAGACGGCTTGCACCATGCCCCTGACTTCTTGCTTCCAATTTTCACTTTCATTTTTCCTGTAGT